CGATTTGTGTATCGACTGCTCAGGTACCATTTGATGTGTTTCGATTACACTTGCTAATACTCCTTTGTGCAGCATTCACCATTGCAGTGGCTTTCGAATGCGAATTGTTTACATCCGAGCATCATTGGTGACACAACCGCACGCAAATATTTCTGTCACACCGTTTGAAAGCTGAGGGTGTTAGGTTCATGCAAACTTTGCGGTACCATCCTTTGTGCTCATCACACTGCATGTCACTTTTCACAGAGTATCAACAGCCTAGGTGTTTGCAGTTGATTTCTTCACAGTCCAGTCATCAACCGAAGGTTTTTAAAAGGACGCTAGATACAAGCGAAACCCAGATACAGAAGAAACTGACGATCAGATGAGAGTAAAAAACCGTAAATTACTATAACCACAAGTACAGAAAAATTTAAAAAGAAACAATGTACTCAAAAGTACAGTGAATAAGTTGCTTTCGAAAGAAAAAGGTGCTTTTGGAGACTAATTTAACTGAAATGAATTCTATTAAAGTAAAAACGGCAGCCTTGATGCGTAATAAACAACCAAAACAATAAAATTAACTCAGCAAAGAAAAATACCACTGTTCTTTTTAAATAGTGCCAGTGGATTTATTGGTGTTTTCTGCAGATAGGCTGGATGTATGTGATAATGGCAATGGTAGAGGGGTGATGAGGCATCTATGAGATAAGCCACTTACAGGGGGGAGATCAGGATCTATTGGTGCGTAAGCATTCGTCAAGTTTCACATTAAAGTTATCCACAGGGAAGGCTGTGAACATTCGGATCAAGAGTGCTTTTCAGATAGAGGCAAATCTTAGCGGCAAAATAGGGATCACACACGGATTTTTGCTCTCCGAAATGCGACTCCTTAAGAATTGCCTTGCTGTGTACGGTATTCAGGATTTGGTAGAGTGTTTGTGTCTAGGTAACTTGGCGAACTCAGCTTGTTATTCGGTGATATCAGATTGCCTATTACTCACTTGTAGCTCAGCAAGAACTATCCTAAAGTTTGTAGTCTAGATTTGTCCCTCACTCCTTTCAGTATATACAGTGCTTAAAAAACTATTTTCCAAAATCGTTTCTTTATCCAAGGATCCCAAAGCAGTCAAACCAGAATGTAGGAAAGAAACAGCTTGAAGACGCATTTGGAAAATTGTTTGAGAAAATTATGATGTAAGTTGACTGTTTGTTTAAGGAAGTGCGCAGCACGTTATACTGAGTAGAGAACTGGTGAGTGTGAGCATGATAGAGCCTTCAATTAGAGTGTGTTCAGTTAACCTAACGAAGTCAGAAATAATGTTGAAGGCCCGCAATCGTTTCACACTTTATTGTTCCTTTATTTCCGCATCAATCATTATCTGTTCTAGTTATCTTTTCTTCGATCTTCTTAGCCTTCTACCGCCAGGCATTTCACTTTCTATTGGTGATACATACTGCTTGTGTCTGTCGGCATCAGTAGCATACATCACACGTCCAGTGTTTGATATTCCTACATGCACGATCAATGGCAACCACCGTTTGATCCATATTCAAAAGTAATCAACAAATTTCACATAACTTGCTAGCTGATTATCTTGATTTTTAACTTCTTTCCACAAATTGGCGCTCATGACTTGTACGCGTCCTGTACATAGGTCAGTAAGAAAACGTTATGTAAGACAATGAAACAGGGATATGTGAGGAAGTGCCGCGCGCGGGTTCTTCAACACCATGGTGGGAAGGTAAGATTTACCCATGATCTGTCCGGCTATCAGTTGTTTACTCTTTGGCTATCATTGAGTTAAAAATAGAGAAGAAGCTGTTTTCTTTTAAAAAAACAAGTGGATAAAGCCAGTCAAACCTGAAAAGTTGCCCTAATGTTCATATAAAATAATGATGGGTTCCACATATCTGTTTTGTCTCGCAGAACGTATTTGCGACTGGGAAGGGAATAAAAATTGGATAGGCATCATGAGCATGAATATTCATTAGAATGGAATGTTACTCAAAAATTAATATCAGCGTGATCCTGCCAAAAGTTAGATTCATCACCCAATTCCATTGAACATACGAACTTTAGTCTGTGATAGCCGCATTTTAAATCCTGATTCGTAACGGCATATACAGAATATGTCCGCTGATCAGCAATAATCACAATATGAATTGAAAAACAACCTCAAAATGTTCAAAGTTGAGTCCCGAAATCGGACAGGCCTCTTGGGGTCAGTGACATAATCGAAGGCATATACATTAGCTGTTTGTTCAGCTTCATTTCAATATGCGTATTGTATTAAAGTCACTTAAAAACCATATTGTTTTCCACCTTACAAGTGTGTATATTCTATCAATTGTAAGTATGGTTCACAGTTGACCTATGTAAAGAAATATTACAGCAAGGTCGTGCACGAAAATCACCCTTATATACGATGATCTTCGTTTTAGGTTAATTGGACATGAAAAAAAACAAAAAGCATAAAATTATATCTAGTCAGAACAAGTGATAGATTCCCATACTCAGGTGGCTTCGGTGGTTCGCATACGTCATTAAACACACCAGATAATTAAGTGAACCATGAAAGCTCGCTGGATTATTTGGAGAATTCTTCGTTATTCCTAGAGTTTACTGTTTCAGTTGTATAGCAGCTGTCTACAGGGATTTTATGTTATGCTTCTATCCAATTATTTTCGTCCATTAGCGGAAAAAATCTAAAACAGGCTAATCCCAGAGGTGTACCTTTAACATACAACTTATTTCAGTCAAATATTCTTTGTTCCTTTATAGCATATAACAGTTGTTGTGCTGTTTAATACTGATAGTTCTCGTTGGATTACCTTTAGTCGGTATTCAGCTTTCAGTAGTAAAGGCAAAAATCAGTTCACCAATAATAATCCCTGCAATTCGCAGTACTGTGGAAATCCAATCTCTCATTGAATGCATAAATATAAGGTGATGATAGTACGTCTTATGAAAGAGAGTCTCAATAATTCGCTACTTGATGCGAGAAACCGGATTCTAGACGTAAGCGATTTGGTCTCGATGTTTGAACTTTCTTATAATGTCCTTTCAGATGATCGGTCGGAGATTGACGAAAAAAGATGAGATATAATTGTACCAATATCATCCTTTAATATACATTAAGCCAGTATTAGACCATTCTGTAGCCTGTGGTAAGATAACGGAAATATGTTGAGACGTTTCAGTCTGTCTTAATTAAACAAACCGGGGTAACGTATTTGGATGCTCTTGCTTAAAAAGTACAATAATCAAAGGGAACTAGACTATGTAATCGTACCTTGACTATTCCACAGCAAATGACTCAACTTCAATGGGTATAAACGTGGTCTGCTCCGCCTCTCTTCCTTTCTGTTTCTTACGCTCCTTTTCAGCCCCCTCGATATATGCCACCGAAAACACATATGAAACGGGTTACTTCGTCCTGCGCCATCGTTAATACTTCAGCTGTTCCAGAAGGATATAAGATCGCAATTTCTAGAAGTTCTCAACTGTACGTGGATTTATTCTCGACTACTAGTTGCACGTCGCAACGCAACATCCACAAAGCGCGCCAATTGTCATATTTACAATACAAGTCTAATTAATATTATTTACGTTCATATGTGAGAAGGATTATACCACTTTATAGTGAGACTTAGGTTTTGTTTAGTTTATGAAACAGAACAGTTGGGAGGTTATCGTTTTCTAACACACATAGTCTTTCAACATTCAACATAAAATAATAGGAAGTACAATCCCTACACAAAAGAAGAAAGTGAGTGAATACTTGTGCTGTAATGTTCTGACATTTCTAAGATATTTAGGCCCAACTAATAACCAACCGACCTAGGTTGTTCCAGGTCCTAGTTCGTGGTTTACTATCATATCCAGATTCTCGTGAAACAGATCTAATGTTACCAACGTCAGACACGTGCAGTAGCAATTTATCTCCGCATCTTCGGTGTACACATAGACACACTTAGTTGCTTTAATAGACACCAACCACCTTTCAGACCTGCCTACCGGATAGTCTCTGTTGGCCTGGAGTGTACATACATTTGCGTACCTCGTTACTCCTTGCCAAATTTCAACATCATCAGCACAACACAGCACCAGGGGCTTAACCATACTCGGGAGTTCCTTTAAACATGGTGTATAAGGTAAATGACCTAGACCATAGCCTATTAATACTCTACAAAGTACTGCATTCCAAAGTGATGATTGGCATTCATTTTTACTTCATGTTTACGACCTGCCGAAAGCTCTCCTATTCAATTTAGATTTCTTCCGTCGCATAATGTTCATTCAGTCTCAAACAGAAGATGCTTGGTATGAACCAAGATGTGTGAGTTCGGATACATGCTGTAGTAAAGCATGTTCTAATACAGTCATCACGAGCCTACTATGAAGAGAGTTTTCAGATCTCACGATGACCCCATCTGTCCAACTAATATCGGGAGCATTAAAATATCCTAATGACAGGCATCTGTTGTTTTTAATCTATTGCTCAACGTGCTCTTAGAAAAAGTCATCGGGTAAGCAGATTGAAATCTCTTTTCTAGACTACAAGCACTTTTATACAAGACTTCAAAAGTGAATGACATACACACCCTAGTTTAGCTAGTTCCGTCTTTTTTATTCTGTCTGCCAGAGACATGTCGATCTTCCTCAATTGTCCATGTTTTTGTGAATCCGAGCCCTAATATACAAAAGACGTCGTTGTTCCTCTAACCCTAGGATTAAATTGAGGAGTCTATATGGTCGAAGTCCAACATTGTCGTTGGTTCCTTTACACACTATGAATCGTCACTACCAGTGTTATCCAGTTTGGTTTCGCTTATGCTACATTTTTATATTTGTGAGTATTGAATTAGTGATGTAAGTAAAATAAAATAGAGCTGCGATTGGTCGCCATAAACAACTCAGCCTTAGTTCCAAGGAAATTATTTTGACGCGAATGAAATCCCCAGTTAAGCCTAAAGAGCGCGTTACATGGAGTGTGCGTAACTCGACACGTTTGCAAATGGCAAACGAGAAGGCGTTTAATGTTCAGTCTGCTTATTCAGATCTCAACAAGGCTTGTAGTGCTCAAGCGTACGATAAAATTATAAATATTTCTGGGAAAAGTGAGTTTTTGTTTAGCAATACCGTGCTTAGTCTTACTACAGAAATGTTTGCACTTCACTCTGGTTTTTATTATTCCAGAGAAAATTGTAGTGCAAGTGAATCTACAACATTCTCACCCTCGAATACGTTTTAGCTGTCATTTTTTATTAGGTCAATCGTTTATCATTATTTAAGGGGTATTTTTGGAGTGGTAGTACTTAGATATAGATTCTCAGTGAACAAGTTCCGAGAATAAACTAACATTAGTTATTTCTGAAGATTTCCACTCTTTAAACCTTCAATTTCAAATTTTGACTATGCGCTTGGAAGCATTCCACTGGACTTAATCATACCATTTGCTGTACACGTGCAGTGAAATGATTTCTTGTACATGGGCTTCGATTGAGACCTTAGTATCAATATAACTCTAGTGAGATGTTTTGAATTCCACATTAAGCATGAAATTTGGTGTACATTTAGATAATTAGGCACTTACGTGGTATTTTCCTTGTAGTTCTTACAAAGTATCCTGGTGAGACTAAAGCTTTCCTGTGCAAGGTTGTTGCCCTTATTCGAACCGAGAAATACGACGATTGTTTGAATTTCTTGAAAAAAAACCCAACACTATCTAGGTATGTTAAACTGTCCAGCACTCATTTATTTCAGTCATGTCATCTTTGAGAAAGCTTACGTTGAATATAGACTTAATCGTCTCACTGAAGCCGCAAAAACTCTTGAATTAGCCGAGGCAAACGATCCAAAAGCTCAGGAACTAAAAGCACAAGTGGTACGTATTCTTTTTCTCTTCAATCTTCACTTTCTCTAGTTTTACAGAAAAGGCGATTTTGCTGCTGCATACGCCTGCCTACGGTCAGTGATTCGAAATTCTCAAGTTAGTAATACACCTAATTCGTTATTCTCTTCTAGGATGATTATAGTGAAGAACGGCTCGCGAATCTAACGGCGGTGGCTGCTGCTGAATCATGCTTTAATAACACTAATCTGGTAAGGATAGATTTGTTATCGTTATTTTTTTAAAGGACCTAGATGTTAACCCCCAAATGTATGAAGGAAAGTTTAATCTGGCATGTTATCATCTTGGACGTGGTGACTATCATCTGGCATCCAGACTGTTAGATGATGCTGAAAGTATGATACTTAACTGTTTTTAACTAATTGCCATAGATACTTGTAATCTGTGTCTCTCAGAAGACCCGGAATTAACTGAAGAGGAGAAGAATGAAGAGTTAGCTCCTATAAGGTACAAATATCCAGATAATCTTTTTACTTCTGCTTGAGGTCTTTCTTAAGATAGGTAAATCCACTTTGTTGCTTTATTTTATGAAATCCTGGGAACTATATTTAGCAAAAAAGTTAGAAAAGTGAAACGAATTTTAAAATAAGACACTTCTTCAACGTCTTGTAGTACTAATGTGGAAAACTATATTTCGTCCTCAGTTTAGAAGCAGTGTTTGATCCCGTCAATTAAGTGGTGCTTCAAAGAGCATTCTGTGTTCAAATTGTCAGTATAGGTTAGTCAAATTTACTCCTGTTTATTCAAATTCGAGGGTGTTGGGTGAATTATGTCTCACAAAGAGGATCATACCATATCTTAAGTGGAATTCTGCCCCTGGACATATATATATATATATATATATATATATATATATATATATATATATATATATATATATATATATAGTCGGATTAAAATTTCAATGTGGGTAGACTAAAATGTAAGATCTCTTGTAGATGTGCTGCTATTCAAGCTGCCACAATTTTCTCCGAAATTCCAAAAAATAAACAAGTGAAAAAGCTGAAGTAATAAAACTAGTGGAGTCTTAAAGTATGTAAAGAACGGATTCCTTGTAGGGATTAAACTAGGATGATGTTTGTTAAAGGTTTAGAAAAATGTATGTATTTGCGCTACTGTGGTTGAGGTTGCAATAACAGTTATTAATCGTTATCCACTCTCAACATTAAATCACACTTCAGGATATGAAAGGCTAGACAACCTAACTTTACATATTGTAGACAGCATAATTTGATATTGTCACTCCATAGTTTTTTTCGGATCGTAATGTTTAGTAAGAAATAATTACAGATGGTTTATCTACAAAATGTAATGGTTGTAAGAATTCATTACTTGAGATGATTTTCTCCATGAATATTCCTTGTTACAAATGTTTCGACGCTTCCAACTTAGTGTTATAACTTTTAGTTAATGATACTTATAAAACGTATATCCATTATTTTTATTCTTCAAGATCATAAGTAAGGCAGGATTAGTCTTCAACGCACATTTTTATTTTCAGAGTTCAGCGAGCTTATATTTTGCAGATCAATAAGGAAGAAGAAGAAGCGAACCAGGTGTATCAATCAGTCATTCGACAAAGGTAATGTGGTTATTTTAAATTTGTTATTACTTCATGCATTTTAAACTAAGGATGCTGTCAATCAAGAAACAATATTTCTAAAACATTTGTTGATGACGGGTTGCATAATTTATGTAATAAACGTACTAATTTATATTGAGGAGTTTCGTACCTCTAAGAGCCAACCATTTTGATTTTGTCAACCCTACTTCATCATAAAAAATCTTGTTAATGATCTAGTTCGCATTAACGATATGAAGTTATATTAATAATTGTTCCTTTGTGCGTAAACTCAGAATGTGCAGATTTTTGATGGAACTTGTTATGCCATATGGCAATGAATTGTGTACCACTAACCAGTCAGTCATCAGTGTGAAGCCTGCGACAAGTGTGAGCTGACTTGAATTTCCATTCCACGTTAGCACTGTAGGATGGAATAAAAAAGATAAGTAGTCCAGGATCCGGAATAGTATAATTAAAGTGATAATCAGAAAGATAAAGTGTTTAGAGTGTAGTTTGGGAAAATGGAATAAAATGATGTATATAAAAGAATACTGGAAATCAAGATCTATACTAAGATATTTAGTGAATACATCTCTATTGTAGACGATTGTGAGCCATTTAATCGAAAATCTCCAAGCACTAGTCTCAGTTCTCTCGCAGACCTTAACTAGGTATATATCTGTTAACAAGGCCAGTGACTTAATAAATTGATGCTATGTTCTGCTTCGACCATCCATGGCTTTTTTCAAACCGACCCCCACACTGGTCAACATCACCTGTCGAGGATGGCAATGGTTAGACATACGTTATACATTTCCCAATCGCCTAAGACGATAAGTATTCACAATCTCGAGTTTTACGTCCAAACTCGGTATTGCTCATTTGGTCGATACGCGGGAAATGCCCAAAAGACCTTTTTGATCAAAAACCTGCAAAGTAAGCATATCTCTCGTTTTCATAGACCATGTTTCACATCAGTAAAGTAATAGGGAGGATTACTGTGCAGTATATTTACCCATTGGTCGGTGGATGGATATCTTGCCTACAGCACATATGATGCAAGCTGATAGAAGACAGTTGAGCTTCCTTAATCCGTGTTGAAACTCCATCAAACACCAAACAATCAGGGCTAATGAGACTTCCAAGATAAGTGAAGTGGTCGACACATTCAACTGTTTCACTCGCTATTATCAATTCAGACGTCGACTCAGACAAGTTTCTGAGCAACATGTTGGATTTAAAAGGAGAGAAATACATCTGAAACATGCTTGTATTGTTACTGAAGGTTATTAAGAGGATGCATTTTGTTATCGTCTTCACCACTCAAAACTATGCCGTCTACTTCCTCCTTATGGACTAGCGAACTTTCTATTAGGGTATCACTTCCTGAAAGGTTAGAGGAATAAAGGATGATTTCTATGTGGAGCATCGATGACGCGACTAAATAAAAGAGGATAGTACAGAACCCTTAGGAAAACCACTTGAATTTGATAATTCTAATGACATCTAGCCGTAATCGGTGACTTGACCAATGATGTTTGAGTGGGAATAAAAATCAGATTAATTGTCTGACTCCAGTTTGACTGGATCATCATGATGTTAACGAAATGTATTCCGCTTTACCTCTAATATATTGATCCATTAATAATTAATAATAATAATTCTCGTTACTGAATAACAGAATAAAACTAGCCAAATAAGAGGATTGTTTTTGGTTAAATATTTTTACACTTCCTTTAATGCGGACAAATGGTAAGAGAAAAGCTTATCAGAGTAAATAAACATCCCAAGTCGACTTGATGAAGCATGACCCAATATTTGTAGTTAGATAAAAACTAGATGTGCGACGAAGAGTACTTATTGAGTACACACGCATACACGATCATATAAGTTACTAGCGAATAACTAACAGGGTCATATATATGTGTGGATAATGACTATGAAGAATTGGTTAATTGGTCTGTCCAAAAGCTATGTGGGTGGTTATCACTTTCCAGCTGACCACTCGTAGAGAGATACTCCTAACTTACTTACTTACTTACGCCTGTTACTCCTCGTGAAGGAGCATAGGCCGCTCACCAGCATTCTCCATCCAACCCTGTCCTGGGCAATCCTTTCTAGCTGCGTCCAGTTGTAATTCATCGTTTTCATATCTGCTTCTATTATCCGACGCAATGTGTTCTTTGGCCTTCCTCTTGTTCGCTTCCCTTCAGGATTCCAAGTTAGGGCTTGTCTCGTGATGCAGTTTGCAGATTTGCGTAATGTATGTCCTATCCATTTCCATCGTCTTTTCCTAATTTCTTCTTCAGCTGGAAGTTGGTTTGTTCTCTCCCACAGAAGGCTATTGCTGATGGTATCCGGCCAATGGATGTTGAGTATCTTGCGTAGACAACTATTTATAAATACTTGTACCTTCTTGATGGTTGTTGTTGTAGTTCTCCAAGTTTCAGCTCCATACAGTAGAACTGCCTTGACGTTGGTATTGAAGATTCTCACTTTGATATTGGTTGAAAGTTGTTTTGAGTTCCATATGTTCTTTAACTGTAGGAATGCTGTCCTTGCTTTGCCAATCCTTGCCTTTACGTCTGCATCTGAACCTCCTTGTTCATCGATGATGCTTCCCAGGTATGTGAAGGACTCTACATTTTCCAGAGTTTCGCCATCAAGAGTGATTGGGTTGTTGTTTTCCGCTTTGAATTTGAGGACTTTGGTTTTCCCTTTGTGTATGCTGAGGCCTACTGATGCAGAGACTGCTGCTACACTGGCTGTCTTCATCTGCATCTGTTCGTGTGTACGTGATAGGAGTGCTAGGTCATCTGCGAAGTCCAAATCGTCTAATTGATTCTGAGCTGTCCATTGAATTCCGTGTTTTCCTTCAGATGTCGAGGTCTTCATAATCCAGTCGACCACCAGAAGAAAGAGGAAGGGAGAGAGTAAACAGCCTTGTCTGACTCCAGTCCTCACTTGGAATGCATCTGTCAGCTGTCCTCCATGCACGACTTTGCACTGTAGTCCGTCGTATGAGTTCCGGATAATGTTGACAATCTTCTCAGGAACTCCGTAGTGTCGAAGAAGTTTCCATAACGTCCTCCTATCCACACTGTCAAATGCCTTTTCATAATCAATGAAGTTGATGTATAGTGATGAGTTCCACTCAACTGATTGTTCGACGATGATCCGTAGTGTTGCAATTTGGTCTGTGCATGATCGATCCTTACGGAATCCAGCTTGTTGATCTCGAAGTTGGGCGTCTACTGCATCTTTCATTCGGTTCAGCAACACTCTGTTGAAGACCTTCCCTGGTATTGACAGCAGTGTAATGCCTCTATAGTTTTCACATTTGCTCAGATCTCCTTTCTTTGGAATCTTGACGAGGTGCCCTTCTTTCCAGTCTATCGGCACTTGTTCCTCCTCCCAAATCTTTTTGAATAGAAGATAAAGCATGTTTGTAGTTGCTTCGATGTCTGACTTCAGTGCTTCAGCTGGTATGTTGTCGGGTCCCGCTGCTTTCCCGTTCTTGATTTGTCTGACGGCCATTCTGATTTCTTCCTTCGTTGGTGGGTTGACGTCTATGGGAAGATCTGTGTGTGCCGCTTCGATGTCCGGTGGATTCATTGGAGCCGGCCTATCCAGGAGTTCTTCGAAGTATTCTACCCATCTGTTCCGCTGTTGTTGAATTTCGGTGATTGGCTTGCCTTCTTTGTCTTTGACCGGTCTCTCTGGTTTACTGTATTTTCCTGCTAGTTTCTTCGTTGTATCGTAAAGCTGTTTCATATTTCCTTCTCTAGCAGCTTTTTCTGCCGTCGTTGCTAGTTCTTCCACATATTTCTTCTTGTCGGCTCTAATGCTCCTCTTCACTTGTTTGTTTGCTTCTATGTATTCAGCTTGTGCTTGGACTTTCTCTGCTCGTGTTCGGCTGTTGTTTATTGCTGCCTTCTTGTTCTTCCTTTCTTTGATCTTGTCCAATGTTTCTGTAGAGATCCATTCCTTATGATGGTATTTCTTTAGACCCAGAACCTCTTGACACGTTGAAGTCAATGCTTCCTTGATGCCTTTCCAGTTGTCCTCCATACTAGTTTCTTCTTCTTTCAGTAGATCTTGTAAGGCTTGGAACCTGTTGTTGAGAGCTATCTTGAATTCATTGAGTTTGTCAGTATCTCGAAGGAAGGCTGTATTGAACCTTTGTATTGCTGTTTGTCCACTTGTCCAGTTCTTTTTTAGCTTCAGTTTTAAATTGGCCACAACTAGGTGATGATCTGAAGCTACGTCAGCACCTCTCCTGGTTCTCACATCTTCCATTGTCCTTCTGAATTTTTTGTTGATGCAAATATGATCTATTTGGTTCTCTGTAGTGTGGTCCGGTGAGATCCATGTAGCCTTGTGTATACGCTTGTGTGGAAATATTGTGCCTCCTATGACCAATTTGTTGAATGCACATAGATTTGCAAATCTTTCTCCATTTTCGTTTCTTTCTCCCAGTCCATGTCGTCCCATAATATCTTCATATCCAGTGTTGTCTATTCCGACTTTGGCATTTAGATCTCCCATCAGAATAGTTAGGTCCTTCCTTGGGCATTTCTCAATAACTGACTGCAGCCGCTCGTAGAACTGATCTTTAATGTCGTCGTTGCTATCATTTGTGGGTGCATAACATTGGATAATATTCATTAAGATCCCCTCCTTTTTTGTTTTGAATGATGCTTTGATGATTCTGGATCCGTGGGATTCCCATCCTACAAGTGCATTTCGTGCTAATTCGGACAGCATAAGAGCGACTCCCTGAGTGTGTGGAGCATTGTCCTCTTCGTGACCGGAGTATAGCAGCATCTCTCCCGTAGCTAGCCTTTTCTGTCCAGCTTGGGTCCAGTGGGTTTCGCTGATTCCCAGTACTGCTAAGTTGTATCTCCTCATTTCCATTGCTATTTGACTGGTCTTCCCGGTTTCCCACATTGTTCGAACGTTCCATGTACCTATAAAAATTTTTGCTCTGGTTGTTAGAAGGGGCATCGGCCTCTTGGCTTCCGAAGGAACTCGGCTTTCACCATGAAGCGTCATAATTCTTCTAAATGAAGACCTTCTAACTCCCAGGGCAGAGTTTAAATGGTTTGGATTATTTTTTCTGGTTAGCGTTTTTTTAGCGAGTTAGTTTTCTACGGGATGGGGACGCTAACCCCATGCCCAACCCTCCTCCTTTACCCGGGCTTGGGACCGGCAGTAACCCTATAAGAGCTACAGGCGGAGTTAGATACTCCTAAAGGTACTTGAAAATGAAACTAGACTGGTAGTTTTTTCAACCTGTGAGCATGACCGTATAACCCGAGGAATAACTTCTTGTGGCTGGCCACACATAGCCTTTTTGTCGGTGGTTCTCCATGTTCTGGCTCCATACTTTTAAAACCTTTTTGTCAGGGATGGGAATCTATGGGCCAAAGTTAAATATATTTTTTATGGAGAGAGAATGTCCTTGTAGATGCTAGTTATATAAGAGAAATAACCTACTGCTGTCTTGTCTTAGTACAGTTGGCAACAAGTCTTTAGGTTGTTGCTTTTAGTCTTTCTGTTCTCCGACCGACCTGCCTGGCAATATTGGGCCTAAATAAGCAAAAAGGCTATGTGTGGCCAGCCACAAGAAGTTATTCCTCGGGTTATACGGTCATGCTTACAGGTTGAAAAAACTACCAGTCTAGTTTCATTTTCAAGTACCTTTAGGAGTATCTCTCTACGAGTGGTCAGCTGGAAAGTGATAACCACCCACATACCTTTAAAATAACTCGAGATTACCTTGTTTGAGATTTAATCTCTCTGTCGCTTCACAATAGTCATACTGTCTTTACTACCAACCCCTTTGCGAAGACTTCATATTTAACCCTACGCTATATCAATATTAATGACTTAAGTGAACGAAGTACTGTTTCTGATCTTATGAAACTGCATTTTAAACCGCGTGTTGGGACTTTTAATGTTTAAACCTTATGTTAACTCTGAAAACATACTTTATTAGCTAGGACTCCAGAATTTCGTCCGACTCACAATCGCTACATCTCCGAAACTTGAATACAGAGTACACTTATGGTCACTTAGTCAATATGATAAACCGTCGCGATTTACCCGCCGTCTACCTAAGGTCTAGACTGCTACTTCTCGTGGCCTTGCTGATGTAGGTATAACACTAAGTTCAAATCTACAACATGATCTCTTGAACTAAGTTTCGAAGGACAGTTGCTTTCGCGCTGCCCGATAAAAATGGACAGCGAAAACTCGGTAAGATGTGGACACATCCTGTTTACTCTTCGGTATCTCTGCCTAAAATCTAACTAACGGCGATACTGAGGAATCAAAATGAGTTTTACAAGACGTTTTTGATCCATCTTTGAAAGGCTAGACCCTCAGGTGCAGCTATTGTAAGCGATTTTAATGCCCACGTAGGTAGTCCAAACTTAAGTGAACGACACGTGAGTTAATCTTATGGCGTCCCAACTCGACGATAATGGCGACTGTTTACTGCAATGACGTTCAGATAACCGATTTTTTAATAAGCAGTGACTTAAAGCATAAAAAAGACATTATCCGACATGGAGAGCCACGACATCAACCCAACGATGGATGAGAATAGACACTATCCCTGCCAACCAGTGTTGAAAAATCTTGACAGAGGACCATCGCCCTTTCTTTTTAGACTTTGATCATGCTCTAGTGAGATAACTTGTTTACTTGCGTCTTGAGAGATGTAGAAAAGTCATAACAAGAAGAATCCTTAGTTTATCACGCGGACGAGAAATATAATATTTCTCGTCCGCGTCATTTTGATTGACTAGTCCTACTACGACGTCAAGGTAGCAACTGCGGGCGTGATTTGAAGATGCAAATTTGGGTTAATAAGTGTGAAAATGGGTTGTTTACTGTATGTTTAAAATTGTCATTTGTTTCATGATAATGATAAGTTTATGGTTCACGCATAATTACGGCTAATTAACGTATAATCTTACTTACTGTTTAGGAATTGATATAGTGCCACACAACTTTACTTTGTTACGTATACTTTTGTACTGTAATTCCTTGTTACTCGAACTTTATATATGAGTTCCCGATACCTGAAAACACTAAGAGCGAACAATAACAGCACGAAACCTGAAAAAATGGTACATATTATTCAAAGTTGCTTAACAAATAATGTAGAACGTATATTCTTCACAAGCATTTAATAGATGTTGAGTTTTTCTAGGCACATGTTGACTTTTGATCTTCACTGGTTCATACTGCATCCATTTCAACTAATAATTTTGAATACTTTATTATTTTGGTATACACTCATACCTCCGTCACGTATTTTTCCTTACTTTCTGTATATTTTGAACCAGAGCTTCAGATACTGCTCTTCTAGCAGTGGCTGCTAACAATATTGTCTGTATCAATCAAGATCAAAATATATTCGACAGCCGTAAACGTATTAAGATGGCTTCTACAGATGGTTTACAATTTAAGCTTTTTTCTCGCCAACGTACTGATATGCTTATCAACCAAGCTTTGTTTTACTGGTACACAAACCAAGTAAGTTTTCGATTGAATAAGTACATTTGTAGACTTTTAAAACAACTCCGACGCGTTTTTTCTCTCACATTTTCTGATTCGTCCAGAACCTTTGGCTTTTCTGGATGGTAAGCGATATTGCATATTTTAACTGTCCAGACTACGGAAAACATTGAGGACCAATGAAAAAATTTTGCATTTGTGGTTTGAATTTTCTGTCAAATATGATAGATGATTAAAAGTAGTGATTCAACCCGACCGAAGCTGCTACCTTGACGTGGTGGTCGGGCTTGCCTATCGTGATGATCCAACCGAGCTATATTGGCTGGAACATATGTCCTTGTAGGTTCTACTATGCCAGGCTGGTCGATTGGAGAACGGTAAGACTAAAAGCAACAACTGAATGTCTCAGGGCGAAGTCATACTGCTGGCTGTAGAGGGATGTGATAGCAGTAATGTGTTTCCCTCAGACAACCATCATCTGCAGCGGTGCTGCCTTCCCACAAGGACGGGTGGGGTTAGAAAAGGTCGACATCAAAAATGTCACACCTCACCTTACCTCACGGATTTCCGTCTCAGGCGGCAAGGCCCTTTGAAGAACGAAGCTAACACATTAAAAACCTTCCACGGAAAGGCCGTGCGCGACCGGCCTCAAGCAGTTGTCCCTTGGGCTCTGCGGTCACACTCCCAGGTCGTTAAGACCAACACTAATCCAATTTCCTTTTCAGATTTCTCAAGAAATACCCTTCCACGGTGTGGGCAGCCGGGAAGTGACATCAGCCCTCATACCCGTAGCAGCACACGAGACCAAGTTGGTCACATTCAAATCCTTCCTACGCCTCCTAATACCTCTCTTATCTCCATGACTAACCCTCCTCACGTCTCTTTATCACCTCGCACCGCTAGGGCAAACGATTCGAGTACGCGGACGCCATTCCTGGTCTCCTGAAACCACGCCCTAAACTGCACGTAGGAGCTTTTAACGTCCGAACACTGCCAAATAGGACAGCAGGCTTCCTTAGCTAGGACTAGGATCTTGCGCCATCGATGTGTGCTGCGTCTCCAAAACGCGCATACAGGATCCCAGTGGCGTCATTCATTTGACCTCACCATGCCAAAATAAAGAACCGACTCGATTCACACTTCGTGTATCTGGAAGCCCTGATTCTGCTTCCTGTGGCCTCGCCGTCGTAGGTATAGCATTGAGTCCTAGGGTGGAACTAGCTCTCTTAGACTGGATCCTATTAGACAGTCGTTTTTGAGCTGTTCGACTAAATGGAACAGTAAGGACTCGGAAAGACAGGGAAACTCGTCTTTGCCTACTCTCCCACTGACTGCAGCTCAGATGATGTAAAAGATGAGTTTTACACAAAGCTCTCCGACCTCCGAAAAGCTAAGCGCTCGGATGTAGTAATAGTGGCCGGTGACTTTAATACTCAAGTAGGTAAACTAAGCGATACGGAAAGACACCTGGGTGGATCTTATAGCATCGTGGCACAAAGAACAGATAATGGCGACCGTCTGTTACAGCTATGCTCAGATAACCGCCTGTTTCTTGCAAATACTAACTTTAAGCTTAAGGAAAAACATCTTTTAACATGGAGACCCCCTAATTCGTCCCAACGTTGGACCAAAATAGATCACATCGCTATCAGCCACCGATGGAGGGGCTCGATAGAAGACTATCGCTCATTCTGGAGCACATGCCTAGATTCAGATCATGCTCTAGTGCGAGCGCGTATTTGCCTGCGTCTTACTGGACGTAAGAAAGACGATGCAAGGAAACCTCTTAGGGTCCTATTTAGTGATAGTCAAGCTAAGAGTACACTTCACGAACAACTAGAAAAGCAGTTAGGCAGCCATGTATGTGATGTCCACCTTGAGGCAGCATGGAATGATATTCGAAAAGCTGTGGAAACAGCAAGGATATCTACTGGTAAGGTAAACTACAAGGTTAGGGAGAAACACTGGATCTCAGCAGTATCTATCGCACTGATAGATGCTCGGAAACTAATTCCACCTGGCTCTGAACATAATGAAGAGCGGAGTCAGCTTAAGTGCAAGCTGACAAGAAGTCTACGCAATGATCGTGAACAGTGGTGGGTAGCGAAAGCAAGAGAGATGGAAAAGGCAGCGGCAATAGGTAATAGCAGACAATTGTTCAGACTTGTTAAGGAAACCGGTATTAGGAAACCGACTGTTAGCGAAACACTCTCAGAGAAAGATGGACATATTATACACTCTCAATCCAGGAGATTGGATCGATGGGCAGAACACTTTAGGCATCAGTTCAACTGGCCTTCAGCCACACTTCGGTTTCCCACGATCCCTAGTCAAGGATTTACATCGTTGATGTAAGTCCTCTAACACTTTACGAAGTCCAAAAAACTTTAGGAAATATGAAGCGAGGGAGAGCAGCAGGTCCTGATAGGTTCACTCCTGAGATTTTTAAGGATGGTGGTCCAGTATTAGCAGTGAGATTAACTGAGGTCTTAGGTAGAATTTGGGAACTGGACGTAATCCCATCTGACTGGTCTCAATCACTGATTGTGCCAGTTTTTAAGAAAGGACAAAAGTCCTCTTGTGACAATCACAGAGGAATCAGTTTGACTAATATAGTGTCTAAAATGTTAGCTTCAATAATACTTCGACGCCTAATCAAAGCTCGTGAAGAGCAAACTAGAGAAAATCAGGCTGGTTTTCAACCTGGACGTGGTTGTATAGACCAAATATTCACACTACTTCAGGTTCTAGAACACAGACACACTTTCACTCGCCCCACAATGGTAGTATTTCTCGACCTTAAGTCGGCATTCGACTCTGTTGATCGTAAGGTTCTATGGCAGAGTTTGTCAGTGACAGGAGTATCAAAGAAGTACATTAATCTTAAAAAGGCTCTCTACTCGAACACAACTGGTGGAGTGAGAGCTTATGGCGAACTGTCATCAGGATTGATTACCTCAAGTGGTGTTCGTCAGGGCTGTCCACTCTCTCCATTCTTGTTCAACTTTGTCGTCGACGTACTTCTAGAGATAACACTTTCCTCGTCTAGATTTCCAGGGGTTGAACTTCTACCGGGAGGTTCACTTGTTGACTTAAAATATGCTGATGACATAGTTTTATTTGGTGAAGACGCCGACAAACTACAGTTTTCTGACCACCCTAAGCAACAATGCGAGCATGTTTGGGATGCGATTCTCCCCCTCGAAATGCGAAATGTTGCTTCAGGATCGGGTTACATCGACACCTGAACTAATGATAGGGAGTGAAGTGGTTGAGCGTGTCGACCACTCCCCTTATCTTGGGAGTCTCGTCAGCTCTTGTAGTCTGGTGTGTGACGAAATCTCAGCACGGATACAGAAGGCTCGACCAGCTTTTACCAACTTGCGTCATTTATGGCGTAGGCGAGATATCCGTTTATCAACCAAAGGACGGATTTACTGCGCAACAGCTCGTTCCGTCCTACTTTATGGCAGTGAAACATGGCCGGTAAGAGTAGAGGATATTCGTAGGTTACTAGTATTCGATCATAGGTGTCTTCGAAATATTTCTCGTATATCCTGGGACTATCGAGTAAGTAATATAGTTGTTAGGAAACGGGTACTAGGTAAGGATGGCAAATCAATTGATGACGTAGTGAAACTTCATCAGTTGAGATGGTTGGAATATGTGTTACGTATGTCCAACCACCGACTGTCCCGACGAGCGATGTTTTATGGTGTAGGGATAGGTTGGAAGAAATCTAGGGGTGGTCAGACCAAAACATGGCACAAATCCATGAAGTCACTGACAAGTGAACTGAACCGTGTTGGTAGTTGTAGACTACTTGGTTGGGATCCGCGAGACGGTAGCAACCGATGGTTAGAGACCTTGAATGACATGGCTCAAAATCATTGGCAATGGCGCAGGTGTATCCACTCTTTGTGTTCTCCCAAATTCAAATCTTGTGAATTCTTCATGTCCCTTGTTTTTCTCTTTCCAAATTTGTTTCACTGGATTATACTCCTTGAATAACATCTTCAAACCCTAATCTTTCTAATTACTGCTTATACTCTTACCGCCTCTACCACTACGGGATTTGAGTCGAAAACTGCATTTCTATGCTAATGTAGTGTGGCAACTCGAACTGATGTACGTACGTACGAAGTTCTACGTTGTTACCGACTGACTGATTCAGGCTTCTAGGAAGAAACTAAGTAGAACATGAGTTAATTTACTTTCGAAATCCCGTATTATTTCATAGTTACTATATTGACTTAGTGATTCTCAATTCCTACGTCAAGGTAGCAGCTACGGTCGAGAGAAGGACATTTAGGTGGGTATTTTTGTGTTCTGGCCCAACGAACAGATAATGGTGATCGTCTGCTGCATTTATACTTAGACAATCGTTTATTGTTAGCAAGCACTAATTTTAAGCATAAGGAGAAACATCGTCTAACATGACGACCGCCTTCACCAAACCAACGATGGACTCATACCATTTTGCCATCACTTATCGTTGGAGAGGTTCGATAGGAGACCCGTTCGTTCTGGAATACCTGTTTGGATTCCGATAATGTTCTAATACGTGCACGCGTATGTCTGCGCCTCGCTGGACGCATAAAAGCCACATTAAGAAGACTCATTAGAGTCGAACTCAGTGACGTTGAAACCAAAAACGGATTCCAGGAACTACTGGGGTCACACTTATGTATTTCTGAAAACGAGGCTGCCCCAGATATTGCTTGGAAAGATATACGAACAGCTGTGGAAACAGCAGTGACATCTGTTAGTGACTTAAACCAAGAGGTTACAAAAAACTAATGGATTTCTTCAATGTATATTGCACTGATTGATTCTCGCAAGCTCATTCCATCAGGCTATGAACACGATGAAGAGCGAAAACAAATCAGATCTAAGTTAAGCAAAAGTCTAATGAACGACCGTGAGCGCAGTGGTGGGCAACGAAAGCAAAAGAAATGGAAAAGGCGGCGGCTATAGGAAACACAGGATAGCTCTACAGACTAATAAAAGAAACTAGAATTAAGAAGTCAAATGTGAGACAATCTCGGAAAAAGACTGCAACAACTTTTAGCCCAGACGTTTAGAACGATGAGTGGAACACTTTGAGGAGCAGTTCATCTGACATTCAGTTACTCTACAACTACTCACCATTCCAAAACAGCCTGAGAAGGACATTGAAGTAGGTCCCCCGACTCTAATTGAAGTTAAAAAAGCTATAGCTAATCTGAATTGACGAAGAGCAACTGTCCAGATGGTTTGGCTCTAGATATCTTTAAGTATGATGGTCTTGTTTTAGCCATTAGGTTGACTAATTTTTTAGCTAAAACTTGGGAGTTGGACGTAATCCCATCTGACTGATCACAATCACTAATTGTTTCAATATATAAGAAAGGGTCAAAATCATCCTGTGACAACCATAGAGGGATTAGTTTGACTAATATAACATCTAAAATACTAGCCTCAATAATTATCGGACGCGTAACAAAGACTGGTAAATTGCAAACACGAGGAAATCAATCTGGCTTCAGACCTGGTCGTGGCTGCGTCGACCACATATTCACCATTCGTCAGGTTCTAGAACACAGGCATGCTTGTCGGCGTCCGACAATGGTGGTCTTTCTTGACTTAAAAGCAGCATTTAACTCTGTAGGCCGAGAGCTTTTGTGACAGTGTCTGTCATCGAAAGGCGTACCTCAGTAGTACATAAACCTTGTGAAGGCTCTTTACTCGAACACTACTAGTCGAGTCAGAGCTTATGGCGAACTGTCATCTGATTTTACAACCTCAAATGGTGTCAGTCGAGGCTGTCCACTATCTCCATTTTTGTTCAAATTCATCATAGATATACTGATGGAAACAACGTTCTCGTCGACTGAATTTTCGGGCATTGACCTCCTTCCAGGAGGTCCACCTATCGACGTAGAATACGCAGATAATATAGTCCTGTTTGGTGAAGACGCTGATAAAATGCAGAGTGTTTTGATAGCACTGAGCAACAATGCCAGAATGTTTGTAATGCGCTTCTCTCCCTCTAAATGCAATTTGCTACTTCAAGACTGGCCTTCATCAACACCTGAACTAAGGATAGGGAGTGAAGTAGTCGAAAGCGTTGACAACTCCACTTATCTTGGAAGTCTGATCAGCCCTAATAGGTTGGTGTCTGACGAAATCTCAGCACGGATTGGAAAAGCTCGTATTGCTTTTGCCAACTTATGTTACTTCTGGTGAAGGCGAGATATCCGTCTATCAATAAAATGATGAGTATACTGCACGGTAGTTCTTTCTGTTATACTTTACGGCTGCGAAACGTGGCCATTAGGAGTAGAGGATATTCGTAAGGTACTAGTATTTGACCACAGACTGACAGATATCTTCATGTTTAAGATTTGTTTTGAACTGTGGGGCTTATAAATTTCACTAGCTTAAGGATTATTTTATTTTAACTTGTTATCTTCGAACATTATTAGCTCTTAATTCTCTACAAATATTGTGTTTCCTCTAACAATACTCACTTTAGATCGCACTATTTTTGGTGTATTAATTTCCCCATATTATGCATTTAGCACTTATTCTTTCATTGTTAACGTATTTTAAAAATCTAATCTTTTATGTAGTTTCATAAAGCAAACTTCCAAAATAATTTATTGAATTTTTATACAGATGGAGGCTTGTACCGCAAAGCTACGTACAGTTTTACAAGAGGAGTTAAGTCCACGAGCTTTGCTTTTATCGGCTGCTCAGTTAATTAAAGAGAAAAATATTGATAAAGCAGTTTTACTCTTGGAAGTAAGTCGTTGTATGAATGCCATGTTACTCTTCGTAAATATTTCTTGTTTCGTTCCATAAATCTAAAGTTCCACCCACCATTTCATTAGTATCCTGTTGCTTTTTATCTATTTTTGGCAAACCTTTTTTCACAGTAAATGTTTCTGGATGTTTCGGAAATAAATGATTTAACTACAAACGCATCAAATACTGACTTCATGTATAGTGTAATGAAAATCGTAACTAAAGGGAATTTATACTGACTGTCTATACGAAATATTTTTTTGTACGTAACGACTTAAATAAAAATCGAACTTTAGTCTGTTACATTAACATTTTTGGATTCTAGTTGATTGGATAAGTAAGTGATTCTGAAACATTCCATTATTTGGCATATCCTAGTTTTCCTTTAATCACATGTTACTTATATTACACTGTCATCAGTACTTTCAGGTCTAGACTGAATAAGGATAAACTACAGTTGTCTGATGAAAGCAAATGATGAAATCGATTTCGGTTCACTATTCGATTCCAATCAAACAGATAGTGTGGCCCCCTAAGAAAACCACCTGCTTCGGTTTGGGCACCCGGGCAGTATCGCAGCCCACACACAATTGATAAACTGAGCTGTCTATGATCATGGAAACTAATTCTCTTGCTTCGACGAACATTCAAATGATTCAATCATTATTATTGCTATTATTATTATTATTATTATTATTATTATTATTATTATTATTATTATTATTATTATCATTATTATTATTATTATTATTATTATTATTATTATTATTTACTACGTCATTATTCACCCTCTTTTATTCCTATTCTGTCTATCCTTTTTTTGACTTATACAGCAGCTCGTCTATGGTGGAAATTCGACTGTATCTAAACGTTCTCGAGTCACTGTCCGGTTGAAAATTGTATGTTACCACTGAGTACGAAGACTGAAGCAGTCTTTCTGAAACCACGTGCACCATTCAAACTGGCTGCCTTCAACGTTCGCACATTTATGCAGGTCGGACAACAGATAGGGCTGGCTATGTCTTTAGAAAGTCTTAATATTGATGTTTGTTGTCTATCCGAGACCCGTATTCAAGACTCTGGCGAAGTACTACAATTTCGACCTCCATCTGTCGCTTCAAAAAGCTTGTTTCACGTGCGCTTATGCGGGGAACTTGTGGCATCTTCGTATGGTCTTGCTGGCGTTGGTGTCGCACTAAGCGCTAGAGCTGAGGCAGCACTAATCGATTGGATCCCCATTAACAGTCGGTTATGTGCTGTTAGATTAGAGAGTTCCATCAAAGTGAGAAGAAATCGGCGTGAGAAACGATGTCTCTTCATCATCTCCGCCTATGCATCGACAGATTGCAGCCCGGGACTTAAATGCTCAGGTCGGGCGTCTAGGCATAGAAGAGGGTCGTTTAGGTGGCCGATGGGGACTTGTTAGTCGCAGGACAGATAACGGGGACCGTCTACTGCAACTGTGCACAGACTGCAACCTGTTTCTGGCTAGCACTAACTTTCGGCACAGTCATTGCCGATGTGCCACCTGGCGTCCTCCCTCTGCATCTCAAGCCTGGACTCAGATTGATCACATCGCGATCAGCTACCGCTGGCGTGGTTGTGTACAAGACTGCCGCTCCTTTTGGAGTACCTATCTGGACTCTGACCATGCCTTGGTCTGCGCCAATCTTACCTTACTTTTCAGTGGACAACGAAGTGATCGCCACCAACAGATTGATGTTAGCAAGCTGGCTGCAACTTCTGTTGCAAGTAAGTATCGAAACGAGCTAGTTTCTAGGCTAGCTACCACTCCACCGAAAAGTATAGATGATCATTGGTTGCAATTGCATGACGCCATGAAAATGGCGGGTACAGTCAGTTGTGGGTTTGCGAAACGTCCCGCTTTTAAGCACTGGGTTTCTTCTGGTTCCTTACAACTCATTGAAGCCCGTCGGTCTACTCCGGGTAACCGTGAGTTTGACCACAAACGAAGGTTGTTACATAGTAAAATTGGGCAAAGCTTGCGTAAGGACCGAGAAGCCTGGTGGTTGGAGCGTGCTAATGAGCTGGAAGCAGCAGCTGCATCTGGTAATTACTGGAAACTCTTCTAACTCATCCAAGCCACTGGCAGCAAGAAGTCTGGTGTGAGCGAAACAATCTGCGAGGATGATGGGATGCCAATCACTAACATCCATCAACGTCTTGGACGGTGGGCAGAATTTTTTGAAGGGCAGTTCAACTGTCCTGCTGCTCCGGCAACATCGGTCAGACTGTCCTGTCCTCCATGGCCGGTGACGACTGATCCGCCAAACGAGGTGGAAGTCCGCAACGAACTCCAACTCTTGAAGCGGTGTAGTGAACAAGAACACGGGTGGGGACAATCGAATGTATTTAGCTCGAAAATTACAGACTATCTCAACAAAATCTGAATACCATAAAGTCAATCGTCAATTTGCAAATTATCAATACATCATATCAAACTGTACTGTTCAAGCTGCAAACACTAATCCATTGTCTCCCATTCCATTGTTCATAAGTTTTCTTACAAATTCCATTATGTTCTTGCTCCACCTTTCTTGGTCTTCGCCATCTTTTGCTGCCGAGCATTACGTTCTTTTAACGCACGTTATATACTACTTATGTCAATATAAGTAGCTCACACCACACTCGTCCCCCCCCTTTAAAGCAGTCGTTCTTGTGGTGGTTCGTGCTCGCCGTGCAACATTCTCCGTCTCTGCAGCCTGTGCCACGCTCTCCGTCAAAATGTCGAGTCTGCGGGGCGCTGACTTCCGTAGCTCCGTCGACCTGCCGGGAAAGCAACAACCGACATCCACCCGGCACCTGGGACGCTTGACACCCGTACTCCACCGGCCTGCTGAGCCATCTACATTCGATGTCCGCCCAGCAGCCGCGCGTCCCACCGCTCCTCTCCGCCGACAGCATCCACTACAGCCAACGCCGCCCCGCCAGAACACTCCACCAGACGCCGCCTCTCCGCACCAGACTGCCCCAACCGGCACCTCAGCCCCAGGCCCGCAACGGCGTCCGCAGAACAGCACCCTCCTCCTCTCCCGGTTGGCAGCGACACCAAATGTAGCGAACAAGAACACGGGTGGGGACAATCGAATGTATTTAGCTCGAAAATTACAGACTATCTCAACAAAATCTGAATACCATAAAGTCAATCGTCAATTTGCAAATTATCAATACATCATATCAAACTGTACTGTTCAAGCTGCAAACACTAATCCATTGTCTCCCATTCCATTGTTCATAAGTTTTCTTACAAATTCCATTATGTTCTTGCTCCACCTTTCTTGGTCTTCGCCATCTTTTGCTGCCGAGCATTACGTTCTTTTAACGCACGTTATATACTACTTATGTCAATATAAGTAGCTCACACCACAGCGGTACAAATCACCTGGCCCAGATGACTTACCTCCGGCTCTTTTTAAAGATGGTGATGACTTTCTGACTAAGGAATTAACGACATTGTTTACAAAGGTTTGGGAACTAGAGAGTGTACCAACGTCAAGGAATGAGTCGATACTTGTCCATATCTTTAAAAAGGGTTCACATCGTTCCTGTAACAACTATCGGGGGATAAGTCTACTTTCGATTTCATCCAAGCTATTGGCTTCCGTCATACTTCGAAGGTTGTTCAAAACCCGAGAAAGATTGACTCGCGAGGAGCAGGCTGATTTTCGTTCTTGTCGAGGATGTATTTATCATATCGTCACTTTCCGCCAAATGTTAGAAAAACGTCATACTTATCAAAGGCCAACAATCGTAGTGTTTCTTGACATCAGGGCTGCCTTCGATTCGTTGGATAGGACTGTTCTCTGGGATTGTTTATTGAAGAAGGGTGTGCCTGAGAAGTTTATTAACATCCTAAAGGCCCTATATACAAACACCTCAGGTACAGTGAGGGCATACAACTACCTCTCTCCATTGTTCCATTCAAGCAGTGGGGTTAGGCAGGGTTGCCCAATCTCACCATTTCTCTTCAACTTTGCCATCCATGACATTCTGGAAACAGCTCTGGTGGATGTGAGTAATGGCGGTGTGGATCTGTTGCCTGGAGAAAGACCTCTCGACCTTGAGTATGCGGACGATATTGTCTTACTGTGCGATAATGCTCAAGCCATGCAATCCGCACTTAATCAGTTGGCAATCAGCCCCCAAATGCCCTGGTACGGCCGAGAGTGGGGAGAGTCCTCTCTCCCTCTCGAAATACTCTCACACGGCCACGCGTATATAGCCTCTGCTAGGGAAGTCCTACTCACTGCCTTCTCGTGGCGGGGGGGGTTGTTTACGAAAATGAGAGGACGAAAAGCGAATGTCCGGCGCTTTAACCGGATTCCAAATCAATGGTGCACATGGGCTCCAGTATCCTGCGGGAACAAATGGCGAATGAACCAATTGTTGGTCACCGGCTTCCATGGGACTGCATCTCCTTACGATGCTCCACTGCCTTGTGGATCAGACCCTCAGGTCGAAGGCTCCGGGTGTGGCCCCCTAAGAAAACCACCTGCTTCGGTTTTGGCACCCGGACAGTATCAAAGCTTTCACGCATATCGAATGAGATTTGTGTGGCTCATATGTATTTGGTGCCTCTTTGTACCATTATCTATGTGTTGAAATAAATAAATAAATCAGTGTCCGTAGGTATGGTATGTGCTTTGCACCTTCGAAATGCAAAGTACTTCAACAAGACTGGCAGGATCCTAATCCTGTACTCACCCTGGATGGTGAGCAGATAGAAATAATCGAGAAGTTCGTGTATCTGGGTAGCTGCACAAGTGCTGGTGGGTATGTGAGTGATGAGATTAATGCACGTATAGTGAAAGCCAGAGTGGCTTATGCCAATCTGGGCCATCTTTGGCGCCTTCGTGATGTTAGTCTGGCCGTAAAAGGTCGGATTTACAACGCGTCGGTGAGAGCAGTTTTGCTCTATGCTTGTGAAACCTAGTTTCTCCGAGTTGAGGACGTTAGACGACTCTCTGTGTTCGATAATCGCTGTCTCCGAAGGATTGCTGACATCCAGTGGCAACACCATGTTAGTAATGCAGAGGTTCGGCATCGTGTGTTTGGGCACAGATACGATAATCCAATTGGTGTCACCATCTTGAAACACCGATTTCGGTGGCTTGGACATGTTCTACGAATGTCGTCTCAGAGAATTCCACGCTGTGCATTATTTGCCGACTCTGGGACTGGTTGGAAAAAGCGAAGGTGGTCAGTATATGACATGGTGTCGTGGCATGAAAGAAAGCTGCAAAGGGCTGGCTTTTGTCGGTCCTTCACGACTCCCTGGTTGGGGTCCGAGAGATGGTACAACACTGTGGCTAGAGACGTTATCAGATATGGCTCAGAATAGAAGCCAGTGGTGATCATGCTGTAACCTTCTTTTACTTTCTTCATAAAACGTATTTGTATCTTCCTTAACTGAAAGATTTCTTCTGATTGTACCCTTCTGTTCCACTACTATTACTATTATTATTACACTACCTTACACCAATCTCTTCGTTATTGTTTTTTTCTTTTTTTTGTACGTTCCCCACTTTTTATTCTTCTTAGATTCTCATTGTTTTGTGTGGCGCATATATATTTGGCGCACTCCTGTGCCAATATATATATGTGTTCAAATAAATAAATAATAAATAAACAGATATAGTTTAAAATCTTTAATATGCAGATCCCCATTTCAAGTTTAATTATGACATATATTTTTTAGGCTTCACATATTATTGGAGTAGTGTGGAAATTAGCGCATAATAGGTACTTCCGGTGGTTTTTACTGTGAATTATTATTATTTTGTTAGTGTGGTGACAAACACAAAGATTAGCTTTCACTTAAGTATCTGTTAACAACATGTGCCAATGTACACTTATTAAAAAGATACATGAATACTGATACAAATCGGCATTAAAAAATAAATATACTCCACTCAAAGAAGAAAGTGATATTGAGAAAAGAGGAGGCGTACAATCTCAAAAAATAAACGACAGTTAAAAGATTAATTCCCTGAGGCCTACTGCGAATAATGCCATTGCATTATTTGTCTATGTTTAGGGGTCGAATTACTGAGTGAAGAGTGAAAACTATTAATTTGATTGATCTACTGAATATGTGTATTAGATGTAACTACTACTAATGATGATGCAATGAGAAGTGTAGTTGCCGAGTTATTTGGTGTTGATGTGGTTGTCAGTCAGTGGGAGTGCTATTTTACAGATCTCTATGGGTTTCCGTACGTGTTTTAAGATTTCAAATGAGCTGTTTCAAAAAATATTTTGGTCGATTTCTGGTCAAATTTTAAGGGTAAAGAAAGATTTCTGGGCAATAAAATTATGTAGCATCTATTCTTAGTAACTTAGACACAATAAGTTCTTTAATTTAAAATTAACATCAAACTAGACATCATCTGTGCTAATACTGATTTTTAACATGTTTTCATCTAATTCCTGTCGCTTTACCTTTAGAGTTATTTGTCCAATGTTACTGGTAATCAGATAGATGCAGAAATCCCTTTAGCTTTGGCTCAAATAAATCTTCGCCGAATATCTGCGAATCATTTGGGAACTGGTAGTCCGCAACCTAAAAATGCATTAAATGTAGCCCAAATGCTTGAAAACATTCTTCCTCAGCACTTAATTCATTCTCCCGGTGTTTTGTCAACACGGATCGCTTTATATCTTTTAGCGAGCTCTGGTGAAAATGCTGTACAAACACGTCCCGATAGCATGAAACAAATAATCAATTGCATTGAATCAACCCTTCATTATTATGAAGAGTTAGGAGAACAGGTAATTCTCTTCTCTATATATAATGAATTGAAGATAATTTCCGAATAAACTTGTTGATGTTTTCCAGTCCGAACTTTGATACTTGTGTCTTCTACTCTTGGTATTCATGTGAAAAACAAAAATGGGTGAAACTTGAATATTAGAAAGTTTATTACTAAATGTATTCGTGGTTTGTCATTCTTCGTCTTTTATGATTTGATTGTTGTATCTCATATGATTTTGTACATCATTTATTGAGTTCATGACAGTCTAAATGCAGCTTGAGAAGTTTTATTATCATAGGTGCAAAAAAATGGATTTGACTGATATTATTTAAACTATTGGTTTCTATTCTCAGGACTTAAACTTCATATAAATATCGTTACAACTCTGAATGAATATGTAATGTAGAATCTCTAATTATTGTTCTAAGGCCTTTAAAACCCAACATTCGCACACCTTTGAGTACTTTGTCAAATATCGTAAAGCGTCATTGCAACTGAACTATTTATTTTTGTTATCATCAGTAGGACTAACATTTGAATTTAATTTTAATTTGTATTAAATTTTCCATTTATTGGACTTCTTTGATGGATACTTTTATGCGACTTAAACTATGGTTTTCTGGATGGATGTCTTCAGAATGAAATTTATTCCCATTTGTTGGACAATTGTGCTGGATTTCTTCTGCAACAAGGTGAGGCAAAACTTGCGGCTGAAATTCTTGAAAAACAGTTAGCCCGACTTGAATCAAACGTTTCTCAAGAAAAACAAAATAGTTTAATCAAACAAGTACTGGTAGCTCGTTTGGTACGTGCCTACGCACAGTTTGATCGTCCTAAAGCCGAACAAACCTGTAAATCATTACAACCTAAAGAATCTCTCTCAGAGGCTGATGTAGATACTTTGGAAACTACATTTTTATATGGAGCAAAGTCTTTAAAACGGCTTAGCAAACCCAGTGAGCCAACGGATATTTCAGACAAAGGCAAGTCAAAACGAAACCAAATTAAAAAAAACATTTCTAAGTAAGTGTTTGAACTTATATATTCGTTTAAAAACTTAATTATCCAAAATCTTGGCATACTCAAGGCAATTAATTGCTTTATAACCAATTAATGCTAATTGATGCATAACCAATATTGGGTAGTGTAGTGTGCCAGAGTTATTCTTGAGAGTTTTTACTTGTAAGTAATTGTGAATTTTAGACAATCTTCATAAAATATTCTTAGTGTTGTTACCTTGAAATTCCTTCCGAACAATAAATTCAATCAAAGGACAAACAGTCAGCTCGTGAGAATCGGTCATTGGTACATTTTGGAGCTAACAAGCAAATTGAAAAGAAATAACTGTCTCAACTTATTTTATCGAGTCTTCTCTTGAGCTGATAAAGAAGTCGTTCAGAGAGACCATCTGTGATCCTCGCTGAAAGGAGATTAAGATGTAAAAACCTATCTAATTACTAAGTTGAAAAGATGTAAGATATTTATTGTATTTCACCAGTAATTATATATCAATGCCTAATCCAATGGAAAAATGAATTGCTATGAAGTTCTAAATTTCTCTACTATTTTGCAACTTTGCTATTTGTTTCTTATTTCCTCATCCACAGAGCTTTATTGTAAAGTTTGTTTCCTAATTACAATCCTCATTTCAGTTTCAGGACCAGTTGTTTATTATCACACTCAACATTTAGGACGTTTATGTTTCAAATTTTTTCATCTATATTACTGTCTATTAGCATTATTAACACGCTGAAATACGCATTACATTCAGAAATGAAACATAATTGTACGTGGGAAAAAGTCGAATTGCCCCGTAAATTTACATCAAACATTAATATTGAAAATAAGCTCCAAAATATACAGTGTAGTACTCAAAAGCTAATAAATTAGCAACTTTTTAGTGTTGTGTAAGCTGTTATAAAAGTCCTTGAGTTATATTTTATATGGATAAATTTTTCGTAGGTTACTAAAATGAGCCAAATCTGTTGAATAATTAATCCAGTGAATGTCCTATTAGTTAGTTCAAAAGTGACTGATACTAGAAATATATAACTTGTCAGTAGAAAAACTGAGTAGGCATTCTTTATTGACCTAGTAATTAATTTATTGTTCAACCTTATTTTACAGTAAACTGAGATTGAATATTCTGAACAACTCCGATATACTGAAGATTAAGGTCATGAAGTTTTGAATGGTTGATCAGAAATTTTTAATGTCACCAAACATTGTATTCCTTGCTGTTATGTATATTAATTGTGTACTACTGTAATTCTATTTTTTTGAAATTTCATTTATCAGTACTCCTTCCTCAGATCCTGGTGTGCAGCAGGTTACTTCACGTTCTAAGCGTAAAAAGAAGAAGATTCGCCTGCCAAAGAATTATCAGCCAGGAGTTATGCCTGACCCTAATCGTTGGTTACCCCGACGAGAACGTACTCACTATCGTGGCAAACGTCGTGACAAGCGATTTGCTCCTACACGCGGTCCTCAGGGTCAAATAACTGGAGAAAGTGAATGGTAGGTACTGTTTCCGTCATATTTAGTGTGTTTATTTAGTTTTCGCGCACGTTACATCTCACTTATTAACGCGCTATTTTTAACTATTAAAATATTGGTACTAATTCATTTGTGTACGTAACCATGTTGGCAACGAATTCTACCAAAACAGTCAAATCTTCTGATATCTTGGAATTGACCGTTTTAGTGTACACATTTATGAACACAATAGTTGTTAAATGCCGGCCCAGAGATTTGGATGTTAAGCATTTGCGCTCGAGATCGAAGTTCTGGTTTCGATTTCTGCGTGCGGGGGTGATGCTCATTGATGAGTAATATACTAGGACTAAACGGCCGTCCAGTAATTCAAAGTTTTCAATGGTGGTCAAACATTGATCTGTTCATGATTTCAGTGAGACTCAATAATTTCTACGACCCTATTCTGACAATTAAATCAGATTGCGAAACGTTATCTAGCTACTATCTTAGGTAGTATGAAGACGACAGAAGTTACTCTTGTTGGTGAAAACGTCCTACAAGTTATTTACTAAGATTTTAATCAGTAATGTTCCTGCGAAACATTGAATACTATTACTAGGCTAGGAGGAGCCTGTCCCTTAACCCTGCGTTGAATCGCTGGTGTTTGTTTAGCACACAGTGTCAATCTACGTATAGTGGAAGCCAAAGTAGCTTATCCTCATCTGGGTCAACTTTGGCGACATCTTTACGTTATATTAACCGTTAAAGGTTCGGTTTACAACTTGTCAGTTAGAGTAGTTCTGCTCTTTATCCATGTAACCTGACCTCTCAAAGCTGATGTGCAGTGTCTCTATGCTGCATTATTGATGATATCCAGTGGCAACATAGTCTTAGTCATGTAATATCTGGCAATGGATATTTGGGACATGGGTGATAATTCAAATGGTGTCATCGTCATGGAACATCAACTTCAGTAACTGGTTCGTGTTCTACGAGTTCCATTTCACTGACTTCTACATCGAACATCATTTGTTGACTCTGATAGTTAGTGGAAAAAGCGATGTGATGGTCAGTTTATGAAATTGCGCTGTGGCAAGGAGATAAGACTGTGATTTGTCGGTCTTTAGAGAATTTGGAACTCAATAGTTTAAGATGTTATTAGGTATGGTTCAAAATGGAAGTCGGTAGTAATTCAATCCTGAGTTTCTTTCACACTACAAAAGTGAAATCAACTTATTGGGCTAAGAAAAGTCTTTCTCGACTATGTTGCTAAGTAAACCATAACTCTCATTAAATGCGACTCTTGTTTATTTATTTGTTGATTTTAGTAGGATTCGTGTACTTAAACAACAAACTATGTGTATTGTTTTTTATTCATCTTAGGGATGCTGCTATACGTAGTCCTAAAGTCAAAGTTCATGAAGACGGTTCAGCAGGATCTACTCCTAAACAAATGTCTAATACAGCTAAACAGCAACAAAAGAAAGGTCGTAAGAAAGGCCGATAATATCACCAAGATTAAATAAAACAACAGAATATCTAATTAATCTGTAATTGTTTGATCGTGTTATAGATATAATGTATTGTGCATCTATGTACATGTTATTTGTAATCTATTTTTTTTTGGTTCAAATTCTGGAAACATTTGTATGTATACCTACTGAAATATATTTGTTTTTATTAGATAATTCTGTTTGACAGTATATTCTTAATAATTAAAGCATCATTTTCATGGGTTACAACCTTTAATTTCTTATCATTTATTTAATATTCATTATAAGTGTAGTGATTGTTAGTCTTTTTCATTACACTTGTTCTTGGAAGGTTATTTCTTTTTTTTTTCTCTCCATTGTATCACTACATATTTATTTGGTCTTTATGAATTATATTTTTATTTGGTATTCATAAATAAGAATTAACGGTGTTACCACTTCCTATTACGTTAAATATGTATTTCTTTTATTTAAAATTATGGTTTACCTCTAAAATAATGTAGAGAAGAAAAAAAGTATTTCTGTGTACATCTACGTTAGAGCGTAAACACAGTGATATTATCTTGTTAGAATAATGGTATACGAGAACTGTGATTATATTTTAAGTAATCAATAATAAATAATGATTGTCTGGGAATTATTATTTTTGATTAATATTATCTAAGTTAAATAATGTGATTGATTTGAATTATACACTTACTTACAATATATATATATATATATATATATATATATATATATATATATATATATATATATATATATAATTAGGAAAGTGTGACTGATAAGTGTAATAGCAGTGCTGACTAGCGTTGGGCACGGTTGGAAGAATGTTAGGGGCGGCCAAACCAAAACGTAGCATCAGTCCTTGAAGTCACTAACTTCTAGTCTGAGCCATGTTGGTAGATACAGACTACTTGGTTGGGGTCCGCACGACTATCGTAACCAAGGGTTGGAGACTGTGTGACATGGCTCAGAATCGATCACAATGGCGTAGGTGTATACACTCTTTGTCTTCCCTTAAACTATGAGATTAAAATCACTTCATATCTTTCTTTCTACGAACTAATTCTTCTTTTACTATGTCCTTATGTGCAATCTTCCTTTTATATATTACCACTACTTAATGAACTACTATGAATCCGGTTTTCATCTTGTTATGCTAATGAGGTATAGCAACTTAAACCGATGTGCCTAGTCCTACGTTGTAGCTGACTGACTGAGAGTAGCATTAGTGTAAAATAAACTAAGGCAAAAAAGTCTGATCTATTAATAATGGGTAAGGGGATTAAAAACTATTCATGAATTATTAATAATGAATATGGTTGTTTTAAGGTAAATAAATTCAGCGTATGTGTCATGCAGACATTACAAAAGATGCTTTACTTAAAAATATCTCATTAAGTGAATTCACTGTGAAGTGCTTTTACCTAAAAAATTATTAGTATTCATTACGTAGTTCCTTATAGGTAGCCTATAAAATAGTTATTAAATCTATAATAATTATATCCAAGAGCTCATAATTTAATTACTAAGGTTATATAACAATCATTTGTATATTCCTAGACTACAAAACTAATCGAAAGTGCAGATTTCTTTGTATATACAAAAGGAAGCTTTGGGTCCTACGTTACGATTAAATCGCATACATTAACTTGCTCAGAAGTTGATAAATTTGACGTATTCATTTTCTTTATTAGTCCCAAAAGATAGAAAGTGATCAACTCACAAAGGTTTAATGACTGTACATTTAAACTACAAGACCGCAAAACAATAAAAATAGGATTATATTACATAAGCAGCTAGTGAATTTTTAAAGCTGAGTAATTCATTGATTAGTTGACTATCCGTAGTAAGAGATCGAGCAACAATTATTTAGTTTAAAGATAAGAGTGAGAACATGTCTTGAGAGGAAAACGTTTATTCAAATCGATGATAATATACGGGGCTGGGTTGCACGGAGTTGAATGGTGTGGATCAACAATAAAAGTATAGTTCAATGTGTACCTTTTACGTGTGTTCGTCTGAGGACATAAAAGCTATTGAAATGTCCAAGCAGTATGAATATAATCTGGTCATTCAGAGTCTATTAGTCCACACATCAAATATAGACACAAGTTATTTCAGAAAGCATCACAATTTGGTATTTTATCTTCTTAATAGCTGTGGATCGGAATTCTAAATCGTTGAATTTCTTTTGGTTGGCCACTGTTTTAGTAGTAAAATGAAGGAAAATACATGTTCACTTCTTATATCTTTAAACTTCACGATACATTTGGGTTATGCACAAATTAACTGTTACATTTGTGTGTATGTTGTCTAGTCTCGTGTAAGTGGAATAATATTTTGCTAAGATATATATATATATAACAATATCTCTCAAATCAGTCAGTCGCAACTTAGAACCCGGTAGTTATGAACATTGATTCAAGTTATCATGCCCCATTAACACAGATAAATAAAATTGTCAGGGTAAATCTCAATATTATAAAGGTGGTAATAGTAAAGATTAGGCATCGAAGATAATTCAAGAAAATATAAATTAGTAAAATAAAAACGAAAACACGTGAGGAATTCAGAAACTTAGAATTTGGGGGTAGGCAAAAAGTGGATGTGCTTGCGTCACTGCAAACGGTTTTAAGTCTCTAAACATTAGACATGATAATCTCGTGAACCCCAGCCAGGTGGTCTACACTTAATAATATCCAATTGTCAGTGACTTCTTGGACCGATGCCATGTTTTGGTTAGGCCGCCCCTAGCTTCGTTCCACACCAGACAACAGTCGTTGAGGTAGGCGGTGGTTAGGCATACGTAACACATGTCCTGACTACCTCGGTGAAGATTTACTACCTCATCAATCGATTTTTCATCCTTACCTTGTACCATATTCCTGACCCACTCATTACTTACTCCGTGGTCTCAAAATACACGGGCAGTGCTTCGAAGAGACTTATAATCGAATAATGGTAACCTATGGGTATCATCTATTGTTAATGGCCATGTTTCACACTTATAAATTCGAACAGACCGAACTGCTATGCAGTAAACTCATCCTTTGGTTGGTAGATGGATATCTTGCATACGCGACAAATGACACAAGTTGGTGAAAGCCAATCAATCATTCCGAGATTTCGTCAGACATCAGGTCTAATGAGACTCCCAAGGTAAGTGAAGCGGTCGGTACATTAAACAAACTCAATTCCTATAATTAGTTAAGACGCCTATGCAAGTCAATCCTGAGGTAAAATTTTGCATTTAGAGACAGAGAAATACATCCCCAAACATACTTGCATTGTTGCTTAAGATAATCAAGAGACTGTATTTTGTCAGCGTCTTCAACAAACAGAACTATATCATCTGCGTATTCCAAGTCAGCAAGTGAATCTCCTTGTAGAAGATCAACCCTCTGGAAAATCAGATGATAAGTCTTATCTCTACTATAGCGCCTATGACAAAGCGTGGTATATGTACGAGCTAATGATTCCTTTGTACTTGATTGCTTATTCCAAATATAATACGTTCATTTTTGCTCATCTAGTTCTGTCTGCCTCAAATTGCAGTATCTAGAGAATTCCTAGTTAGCACATTAATTCGAACAGTTCTAATTATCATATTAGTGTTGCGATGGAGCCAAATATTGGACAGTTGGATATTAATTCAAATGAGGTGATTATATAGAGTGGTTCGTAGTCTGCCGCTTGACTAGAAAAGACATTAAATATGATAAATCCACAGCTTACTTTCTGACGTTCATCAGCAAAGAAGCCTATAACTTGCTACAGAATCCGGCTTTTCCAGAGAAACTGATAAGATTGCCATTCAAGGAGTTACTACTCAATCATGTTCAGTGTGCTGGCTTTGAATGTAGAGAGATAGAAGTTTCACAAAATGATTATATATATATATATATATAACTTCCAGTAATTCACTTCATATTCAGAAACGACTACACCTGTCCAATGGTGCTTTTCACGATTTCATTGTCCACACTGGAAGTTTCAAATCCGTCATTCCAGGTGGAAAGTCGAAGTCATTAAATCTCGATGCTATAATTATCCCTACAACAGGTTATATTTCGAGTATCATTTGTTATAAAATTCCTATTCTTGAGTGCTGTATTTGCTGATTAGGGCGACAAATCTTGAATCTTAAATTGTGAATTCCTCATCACTGTGGACCATCTATCCTGGGTTTAGAAAATCTAAGGATGCCTCAAGGACAGATTTTCTTACTGACCACTGAAGATTATTCTAATGAAATGCTTGATAACTTGTTAACTACAGAATCGAAGTTCGAAAGATTAAGTACGACTGTAAAGTTCTTTCATTCTCATGCGCAAGCTAAAAATGTCGAGAACTTGAAAAAAACGTCATTTCTATTACTGATGCAAAATTCAAAGACCCGACGAGGAGAGTAGATAAAGTCTTGCACTGAAGAATCGCCAGAATATACGCAAAAGAAATAATGAAATTGCTTAAACAAAAAGAATTTTCGTTCAATTAAGGAACGTTTAGTCCGCCGATGTTACATACTATACAGAAACTAGTTTCCCACAATCTACGAAAGGTCTACTAAAAAATATTGATAAATCTGTTGTCCATGTGCAAGCCAGTCACAATAACGCTTCTCCAACCGACCTTTTTGGCATGACAGGATCTAAAGGAACATGCAATCTAGCTAATGTATCTCGATTGAGTCATCACGATAGGCGAAGCCGACCACTACGTTAAATTGGCAGCTAAGTTCGGGGTGCAGCAAGCAATACTTATTTTAATGCAGCTTTCTAATAAAATTAATATTGCTTGTTATTCCCCGTTTTTCTTATGTTTTCAATTTTTACTCTCGATATGAGGTGTGGGATCTTGCACTGATACAAAATTATACCAGGTCCTAAATAGCTGATGACTGACAAACAAAAGTAAAAGAATTGCATCTCATTACATTAACAATGGGTTCATTCGATAATTTACCAGTGAATCTCCGTAAACGAATATAGCGGCACCAAATTATATA